TTACTATTTTGAGCTTATTAAACAATAGACCAATCCAGTAAATCAAGCCATCTATTGGTTATGATGTCATTCTTACAATTTCAGTGCAGAAATAGGATTAAAATATTGCTAATTTTCAAAAACTTCTTTCAATTTTGTTTGCAAACATTACTGCCTGTAAAGTATGACATCATAAATCTAGCCGATATACCCGAGTTTCCTTGGTTCACAAATAGAGGTCAGGATTTATTGGAAATGTCTATTGTATAACCTTTCAAATGGTATATAACATCGACACATACATTCCAAGCCGTAGATGTGAGATGGCAATTATTAAACACGATTTATAGTTCTTTAACTGAACAAAACAATGGTATTTCATCTTTCGAATTAGCTTTTTATTGCAATTTACAGGCCAAGCTATTTTGGCCTAAACGCATGTTCGAAGTGATCTTGTGCTAGAAGCAATTTAAATATTAAAATTGTATCAAATTTCGGCTGGCTGCAATTCTCCAACACAGTGGCGTGACCTTTCATGACCTTTTAATGTTAATGCTGACAGCTTTATGTTCAATTACGTATATGTAGATAAGTTTAATATGGGAGCTATAAGATGCTTCGATCAACCACATAGCTTGACTTGGATGGGTTTTGCGTAGAAATATCTATTCTGATCTTTTTGTTTTCGACAAACCCAGTTGTTTTCGTAAAATGTCGATGTATCTGCATTTCGCACTGAAAAATATTAGAGAAGTAGTTTATTAAAATAGAAATATAAATGGTTTAATTTAACACATTTTGTATTGCTTTATCAATTACCACACATTTTATCACGTGATAGTATACAAATAGTGACTGCCATTAGGGGAAATAGTGCAACATATTTTTCCCGAGGGAATTTCCTGCCCTCTGACTTGTGTCCGGGGCTGCAGGCAAAAACAAAATCAGAAGTCTTTTAATTGCAATATTTAATGCTAACAGGTTCTTATTGGCATTTCAAGGCATTTTGCTTTCAGACTTTCCAGTTAATTAGATTATTATTTATTATTTCATATCATGTGACCATGGATAAGCCAATGATTACCTAGAACACAAACATTTATCACAGTAGGTACTTTGTTACTGTTTTAAGGCCAAATCTTCAGAAAGTTGATAATTTAGGATTAATAACCCAGATCTTAACTTCGCTGAACATATGGGTTCGGTTTTGAAAGACAGGTTAATGGAATTGATGGAAAGAAAATCTCTTGAAAAAAACACAGTAAGAATGTATTGAAGTGCTCAGATTAGGCAATGCTACACCTTTATTATCCCACAATAACGGTAACTGAAATACCGGTTGAAAGAATCAATTTAGATTTTATAGGCTTATGCCTTATGGGTATAGGACCTCTGTTCGAGAAGGAATTTTCAATATGGCCACTCAATTAAAAAAGTCCACCATTCTTTGTTGAAATCTAATATTTGAAAATAGAAATACTAGTTGACGGATTTGGTTTAAATCTTTTATGCTGATGCCTTGAAAAAAGGAGCTTTGCTAAAGGAAAATGGCCGCTCAATTTAAAAATAGCTGCCAATTTTCGTAAAAACGTAATCTTCGATAACTCAAATAGCAGTAAACCAATTGGTTCAAAAGTACATGTGCAGTTGGCAAGTGATTTTAGATGGTAATATCTTTCACCATGAGTACTTTCTGTCCATAAATACAATGGTTTTTATTAAAACAATATGTTTTCTTTCAAGTGAACAAGAAGAAGAAGAAAGGTTATTTATCAAAACATATTTTGTTCGGTGGGATCTGCTCCTCCATGGCCATAGTTGCTGTTTTCTAGTTTGAATCTTTTTTGAAATCATACTATCTATCGCCCGTATATGAGTAAGATTAATTGATAACCTGAAAATTTTCAGGTAACCCCAGGATCGAATTGCCTTTAAGATGAGCGACGCATCATGTAACATTAAATACATTTGTTGTTTAGAGGGTGCCATTGATTTTGACACCCTGGAAAGGTTAGACACTTACAAGCATCGCGCAGCCGCAGCCCTGCACAGAGAGCTTCTGGCCCTTGTACTGTGTATTTGGAGATCCCTACAATACTTGTGACAGAGGCTTGATCTGTAAGAGGCACATGACGTCTCCTGGGCAAGCAGCACGGCTAAAACTATAAGAGATTAAAATATAGTACGGGGACGGGGTCGAATGATTGACACATTGCCTGATTCATGGCGGAGGATCACAAGTACGCGTTTGATTATTCAAAATGTTTTTGAAAAAGTTGCTTTGATTTCAGATTATTTTTTAATTTGAAATATATTTTCCTATTTGATGTTTTAAATATATTTCCACTATCTAAAATATATCAAATGTGAAACTAACATTGACTTTTGAACCATTTCTGACACAAATTGAATGGCACCATTCTTAACAAATATTGATGAACATACGAATTTCAAATGTTTACTTAGTTACTTAACCTGACCGTTAAGTTTTAAATTAAACATGAAGGAATATTGCCACCCAGGGTGCCATCTCGGAGTCGAGTTAATCAAACAGCCGCCAGAACTTCAGAATTTCAATTGCGAGTTTTTGGTCTCATTATTCCAAACAAAAAAAATAGTACCCTGGGGTACTGGGCTCACATGGCGTTGCTCAAAAGGGAATGATGGCTTAATTGACAGAAAAAACGGATTTTTTGCTGATTTTTCGTAACAAATTTATTTCAAGCCACTTGCCACTATTATGGACTCACTGAGAGACAGATATACAAATCGATGTTAAATAAAATAAGTAAAATGGCTGAAAAAACGGATATAATCTTTTGCCACTTATTTGTAACAAAATTATTTCATACAACTACACTTTACAAGGACAAGGTCGTATGTTAATTACCTGCAACGTATATGTGATCGTCTCATTATTTCCACCTTGTTTCTATTAGTCAAATGATCAAAATTATGTAACCCGATTGGCTCTACTGCGGATATTATGACAAGGTGGGCCTATAATTTTTTCCTCATTTTGCACTTATAACAATGTGGCACTGGATATTTCCAAAATGTCATTAGATCCATTGGAATGGATCCCAGAAATGAATTCCTTGTGAAAAATTGAAGAAGATAGTATACTTATCTCAAAACCAACCTGCAAAAAGTGCGTTATAACATTGTGGAAATAAGTAATGGAACGAAATGTTAAAACATCAAGTTAAGGTAGCTTAACATTTTATATTTGACAGGAGTCACAGTTTTAAAAGATGAAAATAATCACACTGCCTCTAAACGCCTATATTTGATATTTATTCATTTCTCATTTTTCAAATAAAGATTTTCTACCCTTTGCATTCGTTGGACCTCAATTATTAAAAGGGAGCTCCGTCTTCACTCTTTCAGTTTACAATAAATCTCCGATCTCACCGAGCCAATAAGAAGTCGTCGTCGAAATATGGACGATTTTCTATATGGTCATTTCCTCTGACATCTATTCCATAAAAGATAAAATAAATATATATAAAAAAAATTTTCCATAAAAAAGTAATATTGTACTCACCCAAACAAAGTACAGCGATCTTCGTATTCATTTTGTCAGTTTATTTCTTGTTTCGTTTCTCCTTCTGGTAAGGTGTTTCTGCTACGCTGATATGATTAAACTAAGGATGTTCATGTTTTTATACTCGATATACTTAATTGGTCTAACCTTCAGCGCACCATTGTCCAGGATATTCACGTGTATAATCTAAAAACCCGCTATGATAATAAATCTCACCGAGCCAATCAGAGGTCGTCGTCGAAATATGGACGATTTTCTATATGGTCATTTCCGTTGACATCACCATAGGTAATGATGACGTATTTAACACGTGTTCCTTCCACTTCACTGATTGGTTGAGAAAGGGTCAGCGTGGTAAAATTGAGATGGTTAATTACCCGGGCTGTCACAGTAGTCCATAACGGTATGAAATCTCTAGGACGTCTAATAAAGGAGCTGGTAGCACACTATAGCCCATCGATATTTGACCTAACATTAACATACTTACCTATGTTCCCTAATACTTTTTATTATAACAGTTTAATATACTTCCGGCTTTTTCTGACTTATGCCATTAACAGAGGTAAAAAAATTACCAAAAAATGAAATCCCAATTTTTCACAATTTGAAGAACATAATGCAATAGAAAATAAAACATAATGATTTTAAATATATGATTTAGGTTTCTGAGCTATAGGTTTGAGTTTTTTTTCTTATCAATACCCCAAAAATTATGTAATCGGTGTATCGACGTTTTGTATTGTTTCTCAGGTATTATAAAATAAATGCTACAAATGAATCACTTTTATATTAGAATGACAAATGCTTAAATTATGCTAGTTTTTCACAAAATGGGTCTCAATACGTTTTGAGACGTTTATTCAGCGTTGAACATTATCGATAAAGGAGGGCTAATTGCTCTTCCTTGACTAATTGAGACTGCAGCTAAAATTATATTTCTCGTTGTTAGATATAGCTCAGTTGCTTATTAAAACAATCATCACGACTTGGTCGAATTAATGAATAGAGAGGTTAAGCTACACGTTCAAATGCAAACCGTGAACCTGAACGAGTAAGTCCACGCTCAAGTACACGTTTCAGAAAATGTTCTGTTATGCTACACGTCTGAAACCATGTCAGTGGACGTGGAGATATATTTATGTAGTGTCTGAGGGTCATGGCTCTATGGTGTAATGGTTAGCATGAAAACATTTTTGTTTTTTGGTTTTGCTTTATTTGATATTCAACCACAATTCAATTACTTTGGTATCACTTTTTGCTCATATCAAGGGCGGACGTAATACAGAGAAAATGCCTCGTTCGCAAATCAGATTTAGTGATAAGGCAATCGTAGACCCTTGCTGTCATTTCATTTGGTTTAGTAGCCACGGGTATCTAATTAGCCCTGCCTATTTATATTGGACGAAATGAAACAAAACGATCACATTTGAGTGCAGATATTTACTCGGGGTGGAAAATTTTCTAAGAGGCTCCGTTAAAGGGGAAAACCGGGTATAAAAGGAAGATGGAAGAGCCTGGAACAGCCAATTGTGTCTGTTGAAAATGTTTGAATCACTGAAACCAGTAAATTTATTTTGATTTTGCCAATATCATGATTTCTAGGAACTTCCAGTCATCCAAATTTCTAACAGTTATGTATTAAACCATAAAGAATAGAAATGTCGATTCATATTCCAATATTATCCAGTATATTTCAAGCAAACTTGAAAAGAAATATTTTAAATGTCTCATTAAATATTCGCAGTGGGATGTGGCTTTAATTTGAACTTGACCAATAATATGTTATGCTCTCAGGTCAAAGGTCATGACAAGTAAACAAAAGCATGTGGTTCTGTTATGAAGTGATAGACAAAATGTGCCTACTTACCAGTTCATGACCATTATTCAAGTAATCCAGAACTGAAGATGAATATCCAAATATATAAAAATCCAAAATATGTTTTGATTCAATGTTGTATATGATCCTTTGGTTCTAGGTATAAACTGATTCAATCAGTTTTTCCCAAATGTTTTCTCTGAAGGAATATGTTGGTTTTGTTAGAACTTTTTTGGGGTGCTTGAAGGGAATGTCTGGGGCTTCTGATTCGAACAAGCTTGTATAAGCCCTGTCCACATTCTCATTCCAGTATAATACAGCTAAATTTGTCCTCATTTCATATTGAATATCTTGAAAGTAAATCCGTTTATCCTGGAACATGTTTAGTGTATTGTTAAAACTTTCAACATATGCTGTTGAAAGCGCCTTTGTGTAATTATGTGCATTTTTATAGATTGTGCTTTTTTTAATTGTATCATTTAATAGTCGAATAGCAACATCGTTTCTCACAACAATTGTACTTGGTTCATAGTTTGGATCTAGTCGACAGCGAGATTGATCAAAACAGTTTTGATGATTATTTTGGAAATGTTCAGTCATATTTGCCAGCATGTATCTCAATGTTTCTGCATTCTCATCACAATTTCTCATGGCTGTATAAGCAAATTTCCTTATTGCTTCTGGTTTATCTTCCAGTTGAGCATGCCATGATTGACCATGCTTATACTTGGGCCCTGATGCAACATTTTGAATTTGCTTCTTTAAAGCAATGCAGGCATGCCATGAGTCATTTTGGTTGTCCGTAAATATCTGAGTATCTCTCACAAGGCAGTTCACAGCACCATTACAATCGTGAACGTGTGTACCAATAGACACATTTTGCCTCTCAAAATCATCATACATTCTGCGTGTGCCGAATGTTTCATGTCGCTGTGAACAGGGATCATCTCTCTTTGTAACATGGATTGAATGCAAGACTTGATGAGTTTTTTCACCAATGCAAACTATATCACAGTCTTTAGCGTTCTTTCTGCAACCGTGTCTAGCATCTGTCATGATGGTAATTCCTTCTTCTAAGTTTGGATACATCCCAATTTCCAACTGGACAGCGTTCTCAGATGATTCATTTTTCAAAGATTTAATTATATTGGCGAACTCCTTTGTAAGATTGTCCAAATAGCTTTGGGACATGGTGCCAATGTTAGCACCTTCAGAGAATCGTTCATACTTTGAAGGTATCATCCCAGATGTAATATAACCATGGAACACTCTATAATTAACAAGAAAATGAGCATTTGCCATGTATGGGGATGAAGTCCATCTTATATTATGTCCATGCTCACATCTAAGATTAGCAATGGCGACGTGCCCATGCATTGTACTGTTCTCCCATTGAAGAGTGGAGTTACATAGTTCTTGGTGATGACTCGATTGTGCTACAAGAAGGTTTATGGCACTTGTTGTTGTTAAAAACATCAATTCGTTTGTGTCATCCTGAGAAACAGAGGAAAATGGTTGAAGTGGTACAAAGTCCTGATTGATGACCAATTGCGATGCTGGTTGTGCCGTTTCAGTTTCTCTTGAATGATTTTTAATCCAAAAATCAAGGGCCTCTTCAATTACGTCAGTGTTATTTGACAACTTTTTAGAAAGCGATTTTTCCTTGAGGAATCTCATTTTTCTAAGAACTTCATTTTTTCTTACTTCATTTCCTCTCAGATAGAGTTGAAAGGTCAACCCCTTATTAGAGAATTTCTTTTCTTCACTCATTTTCTTTGATAGTTTTGCTTATATGCTTATTGATATGTCTTATTCAGGAGAAAATCACTGATAAAGTGCTTGGTTTTGGTTTTTGAGTTTTGACAGATTTGTTCTCAGGGATGTGTCATTTGATAAGATTTCTTCTCTTCAGTTTTACCAATGATCTGGTGAAATTGTAAATGTACACAGGAAAGTAACTTTTGTACATGGAACTAAATATTAACTTAGTCATTTCATTTTTATGCAAGAATGATCTTATACTTCCCGCACCATTTGGCAACTAAGCAATGTCAAACAAGTTATTGTCATCCAGCTTGCGTCATTCCTTACTCATGTTGTCAGATCTTATAGTTTACTATTAAGTTTGGGTGATCCTGGGGGGGGGGGGTGACCAGAGACTTGAGGCAAATCCAAGGGGTCATCAGAATGTGTTCATCCATGGCTAGTAAAAATATCAACTTTCATTTGTGTGCCTTATTGATATAGAGTAATGTGAATTTATATGGTCTATTATATTAATTATTATAGCTTATAGTGTAGCTAATCAAGTGGAGTACTAAGTGGTACACCCTCGGTTAGATAATGATGATCCATAGGAGGTAGCTATCCAGAACATTACAAGTGATCATGCTGGTCTAAATCTACAAGTAATGGTCTGATTATGGGATGAAGATTACAGCTTCATGGAACAGACACTAAAAGATCAAGGGATCTGCCATTGAAAAAGACTTTGAATGATGATAATCTAACTTTAATTTGATACACACTTGTGAAATGTCTTCATAAGTCTGTCAACACATAGCCATAAGGTCCCATTTACCTACCACTGCTCTTTTAGCAATTTCTAATGAATTACCATAAGTGTTCCAAAATGTGCCCAAACTACTTATTTTTGCTGGTTTGCAGTATCCTGAAAAGTATGCAAGTATTTTGATAGAATGAATATGGTATTTTGAACTTAGCTTGACTTGTATTAGAAGTAGAATCTCATGTGACCATCCCCACTATCTATAAACAGTATATTCAAAACTCTTATCAGAACCAGCATATAAACAATTACTTATAATCATTTTTTGTTCCATGCAAAAATGTCTGCAAAACGTTATATATTTGCCATATGGACTGATGAAACAGAAGAACTTGCAATACGAACATTTTTAGAGCATTGTGGCATCACTGTGAAAGAAGCTGGTATTGAAGATTTAAAGTAACATTTGGAAAGTGAAAATAGTGAACAATCAAGCCAACCAGTCGAGACTAAAACTGACATGGATGTAGACAGTGACGATAATGATCCATTGGGCCCTCCGATATTTCCACCAGTATTGGGTACTGATGAATGCCCACATTGTTTTTGTGCCCCGTGTTGCACATCAGAACAGTTTAGACAGTTGTGGTGGCAAACAGAAACCAGTGAGCCTCATGAAAGGAATTCAACAGCTAGAAAAAAATATTACAAAAAATTCTGGGTGATGCTGCAACATAGAGGTGCATGGAGGCACCCTCGATATGTTTCAAAAAAACAATTGGCACTGCAGACGGATGCGAGGAGAAACTTATATGTATATCATGGACACAGAAGAGACATCATGCCAGATTGTATAGTAAGACTTGTGCGTGGATGGCTCCCCAATCCTGGAGGAATTGATTATATGGGACATCTATGGGATTAGTGACTATACACCAAACTTTGCAGAAATGAAAACAATATACTAGATATAATTGATGAACAATTATAACCTAAATATCTACAATGAATTGTTTAATAATCAATGATGTTTGGGAAATTAGGATATATAAATATAAATGAATGAATCATAGCAACAAAATGTCATGTGCTTGTGTTTATAAATAACCCATTACTGCTAAGCCACATCCCCTGCTAACAGCTGATTGGCTGTTTGTTATCTGGTAGGCATTTCACATGTTACATAAGACACCCGGGTGTATCCATTAACTGAAGTTTTCCTCTTTAAGGAAAAAATGACTTTATGAGCTGGATGGAATTTCTGTGTATTTTTTATTATATTAGGGTGTCCTGCATAAAATATTTCGCCTGCGAAGCATATAACCCTTGCGAACATATCTAAATACTGGTCCGAAGAAGACATACCTTGAATTTTTTAGAAAAAATTGGCTAAAAATGGAAACTACAAGAAGTCAAAATGTTCAACTCAAACAAAGTTGTAGCTATTCTATATCAATATTTTGTGTTATGTAAGGTTTCTCAGATGTTTCAAGACCTTCATTAGTATACTTGTGTCTAGAAATGTGACATTTAAGGACAAAATTTGGCATTTTTAATCATTTTCGCTTTCAGCATTAACATATAGTTCCTTATATCTCGAGTTTAATGCTGACTGGTTGTTGCATTTTTGATTAAATCTGTGCTTGTACATGTGTTCTTCCATTTAAGGTATAGAAAATGTATAGTGGAAAACCAATGTTCGTATGAGAGCTTTCAGATCTCCCCTACCCCATTTATAATGGAAAATTACAGAAAAATATGGAAAAATAAAATAACTTAAAGTTATAAACTTTAACAAAGTTGTAGCTATTCTATGTCAATATTATGTGTTATTTAATGTTTTAAAAATATTTCAGAACCTATTTCTGTATACAAGTGGCTAGAAATGAGACATTTAAGGACAAAACTTGGCATTTTTTTTTATCATTTTAGCTTTCAGCAGTAATATATAATTCCTCATATCTTGAGTTCTGCTTTTATGATCGTTGCATTTTCAATTAAATCTGTTCTTGTGCATGTCTTCTTACATTTAAGGTATAGAAAATGTATAGTAGACATATAATGTTCATATTAGAGCTTTCAGATCTCCCCTACCCCATCAATTATGGAAAATAAACGAGAAATATGAAAAAATAAAATAACTTGAAATTATAGACTTTCATAAAGTTGTAGCTATTCTATTATCAATATTATCTGTTATTTAATGTTTTTAAGATTTTTCAGAACTTTTATTGGTATTCAATTGGCTAGAAATGAGATATTTAAGGGCAAAACTTGGCATTTTTTAATCAATGCTGCTTTCAGCAGTAATATATAGATCCTCATATCTTGAGTTTTATGCTGACTGGTTGATGCATTTTTGATTAAATCTGTTCTTGTACATGTCTTATTCCATTTAAGGTACTGAAAATATATAGTGGACAAACAATGTTCATATTAGAGCTTTCAGATCTCCCCTACCCCATTTATTAGGGAAGATGACTGGAAAATATAAAAAATAACTTCAAACTACCAGTATAAACTTTAACAAAGATGTAACTATTCTTTATGTGTTATTGATTGCTGTAATTAATGTCTCAGGACCTTCATTAGTATACTAGTGTCGAAAAATTAGACATTTAAGAACAAAATTTGGCATTTTTCATCATTTCCACTTTTAGCAATAACATAGTTCCTTATATCTTGAGTTTTATGCTGATTGGTTGATGGATTCTTGATCAGATCTGTTCTTTTGCCTGCCTACTTTGATTTAAGGTATTTAAAAATGTATATTGGAAAGCCTGTCATTCTATTAGAGCTTACATATCTCCCCTACCCCATTTATTTTGAAAAAATAACCAGAAATATAAAAAACCAAACAATTTCAAAGTATAGACTTTAACAAAGTTGTCGCTATTCTAGATCAATACTATGTATTATTTGATATTTTTCAGATGTGTCAGGAACTTCATGAGTATGCAAGTCTAAAAATTAGACATTTAAAGTTGAGTTGCAAATGGGGCGGGTATTCTCTATCTTTGTCCATTGGGCTTTTCTGGTTATAATATGTTGCAAACTGCTCATGAATGTATGTAATGTATAGTACAACACTTGGAATATATTTAAAAGTAATGGGGTATAGTACTGTCATAATTATAACCAGTGATCAAGCCATATTGGTTGAATTCCCTCATATCAATATCCTAGATGCGAGTAGAAATAATCTTGATTTAAGTAATTAAAAATTCAAAATTCTTTGAAAATGTGACTTCTAGGTCGGGGAGATTCCCCATAGCCCCCATGTTGTAAAGTCACAAAAATGGAAATATCTTTTCTTGTGTTGGGCAGATAATATTTTCTTTTACTGGACATATTTTAATTTGTATAGCCTAACTATCAGATACATAAGGGTAATATGAAAAGTGAACCACTAAAACTGATAAATATTCAAGTTTATTTTGTAATACCCTGCCATGTTATTTCCCCCGAATCAGCCACCTGGTGGCGAAACTGGTAACTACCTACTCGCATCTGAGTAATTGTAATGTTGTCAAAGGCTTGGTGATTTCCATATTACACCTAGGGGTGGTGAATTAGGAAGTTCATGATGGATATTTGGCTTGGGGATATTTTGGTAAATGTAAACATTGTGAAATGAAGAACAGCCAACAAGATGATTTTGGAAAGGATTACAAAATGGTAAGCTGTCTTGTGGTTTGTGAATGTTACCGTATCTCTAAAATGGGATGAATTTCACTTATGGCAGAGCTGCTTTTGAACTTTGCAAAACTGATAGTTGCAATTTATCTATCAAATACTGATCATGAAGAAGTTGACACTCTCCTTATGGCACATGTCTATTACAGTGCTGCAGACAAGACAAAGGAGTTCAATGGTGAGAGAATTTGTATTCAGTCTGTATACAGAATGTTGCTTGCAAAGAAGGATGAGAATTAAAAAGAGCTCTTAAAGTTTCTTATGTCCTTCAAGGTAGCATTCTAAATTACTATATGAATCTCAAAGTGCAAAACCTATTTGAAGATATATCAGAGATGGGCGTCTTGTACCAGTACTCACAAACAAACCTTCGTAGCAACACAAGAAACATATGTCCTTGGCAATTCGGAAATGTAAAATGGCAAAAGGCACCGAAAATTGCAAATACAAAGTTTCTAGTCAAGGGTATATTGCTACTTGTCCATGTGGCAATAAACAACATAGTGCACATTGTTGGACAATATTTAAGGATGAGTTTCTCAGAACTGTAAAAATTATTTAGAGATCTTCCATTTCTGAATATATAGCTTGTGGTGTCATGAGCAACTTAGACCTTTAAAATGACTTAAATGCAGCTCTAACATAGAACCAGGGAGATTTGAAAAATCAGGCTGTTGCTGGATTAAGTTCGAGAGTTGTGAACAATCATGTTTATATATAGACATATCCTTTGATTCATATGAGAGTAACTGTGAAATTACAAAATTGTTTCGCACTATTCTATTTTTGAGTAATCTTTTAAAAATATGGTAGTGTAGTAATTTTATCTCTAATATGTATATTTGTGTTTAAAACACATTTTCCAAGACA